AAAGGGGAATTTATAACGCATACTACGTTAGAAAAGAAGAAAAGTCTCAAATCAATAATCTAAGCTCCCCCCTCTAGGAACTAGAAAAAGAAGAACAAAATAAGCCCAAAGCAAGCAAAAGGAGGGAAATAAAGAGCAGAAATCGATGAAGTTGTAAACACAGAACAATAGAGAAAATCAATGAAACAAGCTTGTTCTTTGAAAAAAATCAATAAAATTGACAAACTCTTAGCAACACTGAAGAAAGAAGACATAAATTTCTAATATCAGGACTGAAACAGGATATCAACTACAGACCCTGCAGACATCAAAAAGATAAGGAAATCACTACAAACAGCTTTACACACACAAATTTGACAACTTAGATGAAATTGACCAATTCCTCGAAAAGTACAAAGTACCATAACTTTAACCAGTATGAAATAGATAATTTGAATAGATTTATAGTTATTAAAGAAATCGAATTAACAATTTAAAGTTCTCATAAAAGAAATCTCCAGGCCCAGGTTGTTTCACTGGAGAAGTCTACAAAATGTTTTTAAATGAATTAACATCCATTCTACACAGTCTCTTCTAGAAAATACAAGAGGAGAGAACAAACACTTCCTTTTTTGTTCATTTATAATCAGTACTTTCCTGATGCTAAAACAAAAGACACTACAGACCAAAGTCCTTCATGAATATAGATGCAAAAATTCTTAACAAAATATTAGCAAATAGAACTCATAAATATATGAAAGAATTATACATTATGACCAAGTGGTGGTTATTTCAGGGAGACAAGGCTGGGTCAGTATTCAAAAATCAGTCAGTGTAAAATCACATGATTATATCAGTTGATACTGTAAAGCATTTAACAAGTTTCAGCACCCATTTATGTTCATGTCCCTAGAAAAATAGGAGTACAGGATAACTTCCTCAACATGATAAAGAACATCTGTTAAAAATCTGACATTATACTTAATAGTGAAAGACTGAATGTTTTCTCCCTTAGAACATTCGGGGCAAGCATGCCAGCTCGCTGCTCTTCATCACAGTGCTGGAAGTTCTAGCTAGTGCAATAAGGCAAGAAGATAAAGTAAAAGGCATATACAGATTGGGGAAAAAAATATTTGTAGATGACATAATTGTCTGCGTAGAAAATCGCAAGGACTCTACAAGATAAAATCCTAGAACCGGAACTAGGTTCAGCAAGGTCGCAGGGTACATGATCAAAATCAGTTGTATTTCTATTTATTAGCAATGAACACATAGAAACCAAAATTAAAATCCAGTGTCATGTTCAGTCACTCAAAAAATGAAATACTTTTATGTAAATCTAACAAAACATTTACAGGACTTGTCTGCTCAAAGCTGTAAAACACTGATGAAAGAAAGCAAATATCTAAAGAAATGGAGAGACGTGCTGTGTTCATGCATCAGAAGACTCAGCAGCGTCAGTTATCCTCAAATCAATGTGCAAATTTAACACAGTTGCTAAACAAGGTTATAAAATTTATATGGAAAGACAGGAACTAGAATAGCTAGAAACAATTTAAAAAGAAGAATAAAGTGGGAGCAATCACTATCCAATTTCAAGACATTATATAATTACTATAGTCAAGACTGTGTGGTATTGATGAAGGGATAGATGCATTAGTTGATGGAACAGAATAGGGGACCCAGAAATAGCCCCATACAAGTGTGGCCAACTGATTTTTGGCAAAGATGCAAAAGCAATTCAATAGAGAAAAGATAGTCTTTACAAGACATGGTGCTAGAGCAATTAGATATCCATAATGAAAAACGTGAACCTAGGGGCCAGCCTTGTGGCATAGGGGTTAAGTTTGTGTGCTCCGCTTTGGCAGCTGGGGGTTCACAGGTTCAGATCTCAGGCACAGACCTATGCACTACTTATCAAGCCACACTGTGGCAGGCGTCCCACATATAAAGTAGAGGAAGATGGGCACAGATGTAAGCCCAGGGCCAATCTCCCTCAGCAAAAAGAAGAGGATTGGCAACAGATGTTAGCTCAGGGCTAATCTTTCTCACCCCCCCAAAAAAACAAAAGACGTGAACCTAGGCCTAAACCTCACATCTTATACAAAAATCAACTCAAAATGGATTATAGGTTTAAATGTAAAACTTTTAGAAGATAACATAAGAGAAATCTTTGGGACCTAGGGCTTGGTGAAGATAAAACCAATACACTGGATTTCCTTAAAATTAAAAACTTTTCCTATCACAAAAGACCCTGGTAAGACGGTGAAAAGACAACCTACAGATTAAGAGAAAATATTGTCAAGCCACATGTCTGACAAAGGATTCATATCTATAATATATAAAGAACTCTCAGAACTCAACAGTAAAGACCAAATAATCCAATTAGAAAATAGACCCAAAAAATGAGCAGACATTTCACTGAAGAGGGAAAAAAAATGGCAAATAGCACATGCAAAGATGTTCAACATCGCTTGTCATTAGGAAAATGTAAACTAAGACCGTAATAAGATATACTACACTCTTATTAGAACAGCTAAAATTATTATTGGTGGCAATATATGCTGGCAAGGATGGGGAGAAACTGGATCTCTCATGCATTGCTAGTGCGAGTGTAAAATGGTATAGCCATTCTGGAGGGTAGTTTGGGAGTACCTTGAAAAACGAAACATGCACTTACCATACGGCCTAGCAGTTGCACTCCTGGGCATTTATCCCAGAGAAGTGAAAACTGAAGTCTACGTAAAAACCAGTACGTGATTGTTCATAGCAGCTTTACGTGTAATAGCCCCAAACAGGAACAACCAAAATGTCCCTCGGTCGATAGATGGCTAAAAAACGTAGTACGTCTACATCATGGGATGGTACTCAGTGGTGACAAGGAACGAACTGTCAATACATGCAGCAGCTTAGATGAATTTCAGGAGCATTGTGTTGAGTGAGAAAAGCCAATCTCAAAAGTCAGATACTGTATAGTTCTATTTGTATAACGTTCTTGAAGTCGCAGAATTACAGAGACAGAAACAGGTTAGTGGTTGCCAGGTGGTAGGGATGGTAGGGGAAGTGGGGTAAATAGGACTATAAAGGGGTAGCAAGAAGGAAATCTTTGTGGTGATGGAGTAATTCTGTGTCTTGATTGGAGTGCTATTTTTGTGAATCTGTACATGTGATAAAACGGTATTGAACTCTGTACGCACACTGTATCAATGTCAATGTCCTTGTTTTGATATTGTTCTAGAATTATGTAAGATACAATGATGGGGGGAAACTGAGTGAAGAGTACACAGACTGTTTATGTACTATCTCTATCACTTCCTGTGAACTGATCATTATTTCAAAATAAAATGTTTAAAAAAAAACAACTTCAAACCACAACCTAAATGCCACATAAGTTCAAAAAAGTGGTAGCAAAATGTTGCCTGTTTGGAACTTTTCAGGGATGCTGACATCAATGTTTAACACTCTTCTTGCACGTCCGGGAAAAAAGGGTGATTGGTTACCGTGCTTTGTGTTTGAGTTAATTACCGTGTTAGAAAAATAGCAAACTGCTCTAATAAAAAAACAAGGTTCCTCTCTGTCCAGCACCAGTTTTCTCCATTCTTGACCACCAAGTCCACAGACATTCCAGGTTTATCCAAAGAACTCTGGGACTGAACATCATACTGCTTAGGTCAAGCTTTTCCTCTGTGACATCTTCCTCACATTCTGGTGTTTCATCTACTCATAGGAATTTTGCAGTTCTGAATATGTAAACAAAGAATGTGTACACACTTGTATATAAAGTCTAACTGAAGATGTGTGGTGGTTATAATAGCAAGTATATAGTAAGTGCAAGTTTGCAAAGCCTCATTGTAACTGGCGCTGCACGGGTTGAACTTTTAAATAGCACCATTTTTGGTAGCACCATTCTAATTTTAGTTTCTAGATCAAGTATTGCCAGGCCCATTTCTTACAAATATCTATCTAGAAAATTTTCACTAGGAATTTAAATAAATGTTGTTATTATTTAGTAAGCACTTACTATGTGCAAGACACTGTCGTCAGAACTTTACATTCATTGTCTCATTGAATTCCCTCAAAATACCTGAAATTACTCTATACTTACCTCTCTTTTACAGTTGAAGAAATTGGGGTTAGAGGGGTGGAGTGACGAGCAGGGTCACCAGTTGTATGGCTGGCATTTGAGATTAGGAACTGACTCCAGTACCCAAGTTATTAACAAGTATGTTCCACTGTTTGTGTGTGCAAGCGCGTTTGCTTGATTCACACTTCTGTCTCCAATAGCAACCTAATTGCTAAAGAACCCAGTTCCCCTTTTTACCTCATGCAGGCCTCTTTAAATAACAGATTTCACTAGAAACCCTAGCTTTATATCTGAGAATGGCAGTACTCTCCAGCATTCTCTGGTTTTTTATATTTAGGTCTACATTTACACAGTCTGGTCTTTTCTTAGAAAAAAGATGTAAAATTATATAGGTTATACATTGTTCCAGCCAGCTGGAAAAAAATTTTTTGTTAAATTAATCTTGTTATTTTTAAATGCCTTCAAGAAATCAATTTGTTTTACCTGGAAGCTAAGGGCAATAGTAGCGAAGCAAAAGTCAAGGTTTGTTCTGGAGTAAATTGTTTGACTTGATTATCTTATCTCTTAATTGTGCCATTGTAGTAATAATGACTGGTAGCAAGCAAAGATGTTTGTTCTTTATAGATGTAAATAAATCCAGTCTTGTCATTATCCACTGTGCAGCTGGGCAAACCCCTAAGATCACATTGCAAGATATACTGTTGAAAGTTACAAATACCTGCCTTTTAGACTTAAATACAAAGTTTTCAATTCCTCTGACAACGATTCAGCAACTTATATCTGTTATTTTAAATCTTTTATTTAAAACATGGCATTTTTTTCCAACATTATTAGCATGCTTTTGATTTTTGTGCAACTTGACATTTGTAATTACATGTGTAATATGTGCTGGAAAGAGCTTTTGTAAATTGATCTGATTTCTTATCTTTACAGGAATATATTAAAGGAATCTGTGAACCTGAACTAGAAGAAAGAGAATGTTACCCCAAGGACATGCACTGCATTTTTGTTGGAGCGCAGAGCCTGTTTCTGAAGAGCTTGATTCAGGACACGTGTGCCGATCTCTGCATTCTGGACATTGGTCTTCTTGGCATCAGAGGAAGTGCCGAAGCTGTGGTCATGGCTAGGAGTCACATTCAGCAGTTTGTAAAGCTCTTTGAGAATAATGAAAACCTACCCAACAGTCAGAAAGAATCAGAGGTGAAAAGGGAATTTAAACAATTTGTTGAAGCTCATGCAGACAATTATACAATGGACTTGTTGATTTTGCCCACTTCCTTGAAAAAAGAACTTTTGACACTGACACAAGGTGAGGAGAATCTGTTTGAAAGAGGAGATGATGATGTTATTGAAATTAGAGATTCTAAACAAACGGAGTTTACACAGAAAGCTGCCACAGGGCTGAATATTTCCAGAGATGAAATTGTTTTGCAGGAAGATGCAAGAAATAAAGCTGGGACTCCTGTTTCTGAGCTTACAAAACAAATGGACACAATCTTTTCTAGTTCACAAGAAGTACTTTTTGTTCCAGTTAATGGTCTGACCCCAGATGAAGAGGCACTTTCCAAAGACAGAGTATGTCACAAAAGGAGATTTTCTGATTCTGAAGAAAGGCATACCAAGAAACAATTTTCTTTGGAAAATGTTCAGGAGGGGGAGCTTTTACATGATGGTAAGACATTAGCTGGAAGTGTAATCATTGACCTATCTGATTCTTCTACTGATCCCGAAAATTTAAGTCCAGATATAAAAGACACTACTGAGGAAATGGAATACAACATCCTCGTAAACTTTTTTAAAACCATGGGCTATTCCCAAGAAATTGTTGAAAAGGTCATTAGGGAATATGGGCCATCTACTGAACCATTATTGCTCTTAGAGGAAATTGAAAAAGAAAATAAAAGATTCCAAGAAGACAGAGAATTTTCACCTGGTACTGTGTATCCAGAGACCAACAAAACCAAAAATAAAGGTGTTTGTAGCAGCGTAAAGGAGCTCACAATGGATTCCACTCCAAAGAAAACACAAACTCGCACACAGCAAAATATGGTAGAAAAATATCCTCAGTTACCGTTCAAAGTAGAATCAAAACCATGTACCTCAAATGGCAGAATTAATACTTTCAGAACAGTGCCAATAGAACAGAAACAAGAAATCTGGAGTTCAAATCAGAACTACGTTGGTAACATAGACCTCGAAACTGATGGCCTTTCACCCTCTGTTGCCCCTTCAAGTCCCAAAGAAGTTGTCAGTTTTGTTTCAAGAGGAGCTTCAAGTCACCAGCCCAGAATTCCAGTTTTTCCTGAAAATGGTTTGCAGCAGCAAGCAGAACCTTTGCTTCCAAATAATATGAAGTCTGCCTCTGAAAACCGTACGGGGTGTTGTAGCTCTCCTCAGTCTAAGCCAAGTTGTCCGCCCCTTTCTCCACCGAAGCCGCTGCCCCAGCTGTTACCTTCAGTTGCTGATGCAAGGTTGGCAGGACCTTCTGATCATATTGATTCCTCGGTTACGGGGGTTCAAAGGTTTCGAGATACTCTGAAAGTACCCTACAAGCTGGAGTTAAAAAATGAACCAGGGAGAGCGGATTTGAAGCACATTGTTATAGATGGGAGCAATGTTGCAATTACGTAAGTCCATTGTCTGCAAATTTTAGTTTTAAATAGGGCTCTAAGAAATGTCTCAGAATTACATGCATTTATTGGAACCATCCTATGCGTCTGTCTAGTTGATCTCTAGCCTTACCTGAAAAAAAAAAAAAAAGCTGGTTGGAAAAGTTTTGTTATTCCATCTTCTGGAGTTGTCAACTTTGCTTCACCCTGCTGAACCTGTATTTCCGAAGGCCAGAGGTGATAGAAAATTTGTCTTTTCACATTGCATTGCTCAGTAATGAGCAGTATAGTGACTTTTGAGTCATTAGGTTCTTAATACCATTAGGTTCTAAATATGAGGATAAAGCTTAAGGCAAAAAAGAGAGTTTTGTGTCTTATTATACTACAATATGCCAGGTCTCTAGCCAAGAGTGTGCAGTGATGATAGGTGTGGTGTACTTCTGTTATACTTTTGTTGATAGAGTGATAGCAATTTTCTTTCTAAGAAAACTCATCAGTTTGAGCTTCTTTATGGGCCTCCACTCTTAGTAAAAGTTTGTGTATTTGTTTTTAGTAAAAAGAGTTAAATGATCATTTCTATTTAGCCTGTCTTGGAACCCTCTTAGGATTCTGATTTTATACTTCTGGTATGGGATCGAGTTTCTTCTCTGAGGGGTAGTTTAATCTGGTGGGGAAGAAGAGTTGGGGGTCAGGTCAGAATCTCCACCCACTGTGGACCAGCTGTTTGACCCTGGGCAGGTTTCTGTCTGCTGAGTTTCACTTGCTGCAGTCTGTGCCTTTTGCCCTGTCCTAGATGACATCTTTATCATGCCATTTCAACAACTGCCAGGTAAAGTCTCCCTCCAGTTTTCAAAATCAGTCACTCCGTTGATCTTGAAGAAGTCTTCAAGGTCTGGTGTTTTCAGTAGCTGCTGTTCAAGAAAAGGGGCACCTGGACATGGAATGAAGAAGTTGAAATGCTTTCCTGAATTGCTGAATATTTATGTGACTTCTTTCCTAGAGTTCTAAAAGATCAGTTAATGCCCTGATTTTTTAGAAATACTTGATGAGATTGAAAAATAAATTTTGTTATTGAAGTATATGTGTTTATTATATATTTATTTTTTTTGTTAACTTTTTAATTAGAATTTTCAAACAGTTACATAAGAAGATAATATAATGAATCCCATGTTGGATTTATATGGGATTCCCGTGTGCCCATCACCCAACTTCAGTAGTTATCAACTCATGGCCAATCGTGTTTCATCATTTCAAATGTTTTTTCGTCTATACCCCAACCTATTGCCTTTCACTCATATTATTTTGGAGGAAGTCTCAGATATATCATTTTATCTATAAATATTCTAGTATCTATTTTTAAAAATATAAGGATTCTTTTGATTTTTTTAATTGGTGAGGAAGATTCGCTTTGAGCTAACATCTATTGCCCAATCTTCCTCTTTTTTTGCTTGAGGAAGATTAGTCCTGAGAACATCTGTGCCAGTCTTCCTCTATTTTGTATGTGGGTTGCCACCACAGCATGGCTTGATGAGTGGTATAGGTCCATGCCCGGGATCCGAACCCACACCCCAGGGCCACCAAAGCAGAGCTTAACCGCTTAAGCACTATGCCACAGGGCCAGCCCCTGATTTTTATTTTTTGAATGAATTATTGATGCTGTGCTTTGTTCTCAAAAAAGAAAGAAAGAAAGAAAATGCCAGCATTTCACATATTAAAGTTTGAAGATAGGCAGTAGAAATATGTAATAGACTTGTCTTCATTTCTAAATAATACTGTTTATTGTCATTTCACTTTGTTTTTTGGCATTTCTTTTGGGGGAAACCCAGCAAATGGCCCACAGCTGCATAGCATTATCTAAGTAAAAATGTAAAGTGCAATTTCAGTCACCCACATGTCCAAGCCCAGCACCAGTTCCTCATTGTTAGAATTTCTTGAGCCAACTGATGATATAAAATTTAGGTCAAGATTGTGAGTAATATTAATCCTTTTTCATTTTTCTGTATGTGGAAAGGTTTCCGAAATTGGTGTTCAAAGAAAAGAAATGCAAATTAACATAGTATGAACAGTGATAATGACACTTTCTTAAAACCTTTTTGGAGTATTAACTAGTATATTTCTCAGAGGGGTCGCTATTAGAATTTTGAGTGGTACTGCCTATCCATGACAGGATGTTTTGCATATCTGGTCCCTCCCACTTTGCCCATAATGCGCCCACCCCGAGTCACTGTGACACCCCCACATATTTCCTAACTCCCTTCGGTATAGTACCATCTCTTTTGAAAACCACCGAATTAGTGCATTAAGGGAAACCACAATCATTAATTTTTTTAAAAACTGATTATTTGGGGAGGATTTCAATTTTCTTTGAATTCACGGATATCTCAGTTTAAAAGCAACACTTTTACAAAGGATGTTATCCTAAGAAGACAGATTTATACTTAATTTGATGTAGATTGATCTGAAAATATCAGTAATTAACTCATTCTGGGGAGAAACTGCTTAATGAGTACAGGTTTTTATTTTGGAGTGGTGGCAATGTTTTGAAACAAGATATAAGTGGGGGTTGCACAACATTATCAATGTACTGAATGCCCCTGAATTGTTCACTTTAAAATCATTGTTTTATGTTATGTGAATTTCACCTCAAATTTTTTTAGAAGTTGGGAAAAAATTAACTCTTATTCTAAATCAGTTACTTCAATATTAAACTCGAATTATAGACTATAAATTCTGTGAGGGAAGTGATTCGTGTCTGTTCTGTTCACTGAACTACCCCAAGGTCCATGGTGCCTGGCACATGGTAGGCACTCAGTAACGATGTATTAAATGAATGAATGAATTAAAGACTTAACAAAGATTAGGGTTTTTTAAATGGCTTTTCACTACTCATTTTATAACTTGCTATTCCAATTGTTATTCCGTTATCGGTTTAGATTAAATTTTAACTGAGGCCATATATTTAATTCAACGAGTATTTAGAATCTTACAGCTGAAAAACCTGTTATGTGTCAAGTACTGTGTCTTTTAAAACAACCTTCACACCAATTTTGTGAGGTAAAGATTATCTATAATTTACATAACCTGAAATGGATTAAAAATCTTGTCCAAGGGGCTGGCCCGGTGGTGCAAGCAGTTAAGTGTGCGTGCTTCGCTGCGGCGGCCCGGGGTTCGCCGCTTTGGATCCCAGGCACACACTGACGCACTGCTTGCCAAGCCATGCTGTGGCGGCGTCCCATATAAAATGGAGGAAGGTGGGCACGGATGTTAGCCCAGGGCCAGTCTTCCTCAGCAAAAAGAGGAGGATTGGCAGATGTTAGCTCGGGGCTGGTCTTCCTCACACACAAAAAAAAGAAAAATCTTGTCCAAGATTACATAGGTGCGAGATTTGGGCCTGTAATATATCTCTCGAGAGCCACCATATACCCCGCCTCCTCCCACAGAAGTTGAGGTTGGAATTTTCAGGCCTGGCACCATCAGATACTTAAGTCTTGAGTTACTTAAGCACTGCTGAGTAAACCTCACTCATTCGATCCACCTAGCTTGGGAATTAGTTAAAAAGGAAATTTGAGTCCTCAAGCAATAGGATTTGTTGGTTTAAACCCAGCCTAAAGTAGCTCAGGCCTACCCATCCCTGGGTTTCTGCAAAGCCTTTGTTTATTTGCCTCTCCATCCAGCATGATGTCTGCAGTTCATACACACTGTGAGAAATTCCAAAATACCCACTTAATGCTGCTGATTATGCAGGTCTCTACTTGGTTTTTCCCTTTTGTCACCATGAATGAGTCAAATGATGAGTAAATGGAAATTGTTTGCGGTGTATGGCGAGACATCACAGTGGTGGTCAGATAACACTCGGGCTCTGTCAGTCTGAAACTTCAGCATAAGAGCACCTGACTTATCTGGGTAGATAATTTTCCATGTAGACGAGGTTTGCCCCTTCACTTGCCAGAACTTTGTATTTTAACCATTTTTCATGATAGTCTGTCTTTCTATATCAGGGTTCCATGGCTATTTTTATTAAGTGGAAGCTATAGAAGGAAATTACCCTTTCCTGGGTAACTCAGAAAGGGTTTTCACTGTTTCCCCACACTGCCCTGACTGGGGGCAGTTTTTATCAGGTATCTTTCCCCCATCTCCCCTCTGGTTTGGACACTCCTTCTCCTTGACTGCCTGCTACAATATGGAAAACAACCAGATGATATAACTTGTTTCCAATTATATGGGAACAAGAGTTTAAATCTTTGAGAGCCTGCACACCTGGCCTCTCAGGCCTGATATCTGTTCATTCTGCTTTGGAGCTGAGAGCCCCAGAGCTTTGGCCTTCTCAGAAGGAGAAGTGGTACATTGTATACATGCGCATTGTTCCTGAGTCAAAATAGGCAGTTGGTCTCCTAACCTGTCAACAAGCTACTCAGGTTTGATTGCAGAGAGGTGAGGAGTGATTATTCAGCACATTCCTCGCTGCTCAGAATGTGGGAGTTGAGTAGGAGGGGTCAAGGACCCTCTGTGTTATTTTGAGGGCAATAATTTGGGTCCATTTGATGTTTTTCTGTAGTTTTTGTTTTCTGGGTAAATCTGTATGTTCTCCACCAGAGTTTTGAACTGCTGTCTTTATTCCGGCAACAGCTCTCGAGATTTTTCGGTGTATCAAGAGTAACTTGGTCTTATCACTGAAGATAACACTTTGGAGATTCTTTTAGGGCTAGTGTTTCTAGAAACTCCGTTTCTTCCCCTCTAACTTGTGAGCGGTCCAGGACAGCGGAATTCCATCTGCTTGTGTTTGCCTTCTTTTCCTCAGTGACCCAGTGGAGCGGGCCTGGGTGCTCCACTTCCACTCAGTTTCTACTCTTGCCGTCAGTGCAGCGTTTAAGGAAAAGAGGGAAAAGGTACCACACTTTTGTGTCTGCTAATAAGCTAAGGAGGCACTTTACAAGCTTTTTTAGCGCATTTCTCTCAAGGGTTATTCTTTTCAGGACCTTTACTTAACATAATCCTTTGGTTTTCCTTAGAACCAGCAGGCTGTTTATTTTTGGATTGTTATGTTTGGGCTATGGTTCACATTAACTCTAGGCCTGTCCTTGCTGTGAAGCAATTAGAACGATATATTCTTTTTAGGGATTAAAGAAGGACCCCTCTACAAAAACTACCCCCAGCTTTTTTCCCAGTAACAAATGTCATATTGCTATATTCTTGCCATATTTGAATGTTTTTAGATGATCCGCTACCGAATTATTTCCTCAAGAGTGGGTTTGTTTACTAGCATGCGTTGTCTGGGGTATAGCCAGTGCCTGTGCGGGCTCTTATTTATGGTTCACTGAGAAGAGAGTGGGCTTTGGCCTCTGACAAGAGGCGTTTCTGAGCCGCTCTTCTGGATGGTAGATGTTTGTTGGGTGTCCAACCCATTCCTGCTCCGTGAGAACCGTAGGTTTAGTTGGGGGCAGTCCGCTGTGGGGTAGTTGAAAGGGCACTGGCCCGGGAATGAGGAAGCCTCAGTGTAACCCCAGCTCATCCACCCTCTGGCAGTACAGCCTGGGCAAATCGGTCTCTCTCATGAGGTGCTTCTTTCTTTTTATCTCTAACAGGCATGTAAGTCCATTCCGTCTCCTAAGTTCTGTGATTCTGGTGCCCAGCACAGGATAGCAGTTCAGAGGAGAGAAGAGAGCTGATTAAGGGCCTACGTCAGGAGACGGCTTCGTGGAAGAGGGACTGGAGTTGAGCCCTGAGGGCATTTGAGGAAGGAGTTGGGGTGGGGCGGTGTGGGAGATTGTACACAAGGAAAGCGGCATCAGAAAAAGCTTAGAGCCCAGGAAGAATGAGATGGCAAGACCTGGCTGAAACCCAGAGTGATGACTCGTGGTGGTGGAAGTGGAAGGTTCGCCGTGGCCAGATCTCTCGTTACCGCTCGTGGAGGGGAGCTTGCAGGCAGGCACTGGATTTGTCTGGGAGGGTAGTGCTGTTGAAGTCCCTAAGCAGGATCAAAGGCCTTGTGGTGCGTTTCAGCGTCAGTCTAACTGGCGTTTGCAGGGCGAGTTGGAATTAGGAGAACCTGGGGTTGACTTGGGGTGCGTTGTGCGTGAGGTGGCAGGACTGGCAAGTGAAGGAAATATCCACCAAGCAGTTTTGACATGGAGAGGAGAGAAGACTGAAGGTGCAGAATTGACTGTCGCTGGAATACAGGGGATCATTGAAGCAGTGAAGATAAGTTATGCAAGTCTCATAAACTGTAAAATCACAGTTTGGGATTTTGACTTTTTGTCTTTCTAATACTCATGGGTAGGCAAACAGTTTACTAGCTGCAAAGTTTCAAACTTTTAAGAAACATTTCTTTTTAAACCTCCACTTTTAACTGCTGGAAAATAAAATTTAAGTATTTTTTCTTGTTTCTTTTGAAATTTGTTACCAGATTTTTAGATGGGGGACATTTTTTAATCCTGTGTACCAGGGGTTGCAAACTATGGGCCAAATCTGGCCACCACCTGTTTTTGTAATACGGAATACAGCCACACTCATTCATTTCCAGTTGGCAGTCGAGTGGTGCAGCAGAGACCATATGGCCTGGAAAGCCTATCTGGCCCTTTACAGAAAAAGTATACTCGCTCATGTTCTATACTGTTCCTTGTTTGGTTACTTTTTCCCCCTGCTCTCTGCTTCCTTCAACAGAATCACTTGCCATGGCCCCCTGGTTAGTTTCATTTGAGTCTTGCCCTCAACTTGTTTCCAGGAAGCTGTAAACTGAGTAGGTTTTGCATTTTCCCAGAAAGGGGATGGAGCCCTCCTGGAACCGGACGATCCACAGCCTTTGGAAGTTGTGGTGGTGAAGACCATGTCATAGAATAGTCATGACCATGGCTCCTTCTGCTTCAGCAACAAATTTCTTAATAAAATTCACAAAAGATTCTTAGAGGCCAGTGACCAGGCAGAACTCTTTAGAATGGGCTCTTTATCTAAAAAAACAAGAATAGGGGCTGGCCCGGTGGCATAGTGGTTAAGTTCACGCACTCCGCTTTGGCAGCCCAGGGTTTGTGGGTTTGGAACCCCGGGTGCAGTCCTACACATCGCTCATCAAGCCATGCTGTGACGGGCATCCCACATATAAAAAAAAAATGGAGGAAGATGGGCATGGATGTTAGCTCAGGGCTAATCTTCCTCACCAAAAAAAAAACGGTAAGAATAACAGGTGCAATAAATAAGTATTACCATGAAGCTCAAACTGCCTTCTACCACAATAGCACACTCAATTAAATCAACTAAACAAAATACAAGAAAAATCATAAAGCTATTAAGAGTCACGTCACCTATGATGGGTTCTATCTTAGCTTTGCAAACAGAAAACTATGCAACTTAATGCCAAAAAATGTAAATGTATTAAAGGAAATTTTATTCTAATTGTTTTTGTTGTATATGGATTTTAACTTTTCACCTTTTCATGGTGAAACTTAACATACTTTAAACTGAAACGAATTTTACTTATTTTCTTATAGCCACGGTCTGAAAAAGTTCTTTTCCTGTCGTGGAATTGCAATTGCGGTTGAGTATTTTTGGAAACTTGGCAACAGAAACATCACTGTCTTTGTCCCACAGTGGAGAACAAGGCGTGATCCTAATGTCACAGGTGAGGCAAACTGTTTTTCCCAGATTTCTAATTAGATATTTAATGAGTTGGCTTATAATTGAACACACACTACTTAGAACAAAGCCATGTGTCATAGGCAGCAGCTTTAAAAACAAAACTGTAAATCGGTTGCACCCAGTAAAAAACATCAATTGAAGAGACTGTTACAGCATAAGAAATACTTGGGGGGAGGATGGAGTTAACATGGCTATTTATATAGAAAGTTATATTAGAGTTCATTACATATCACAAAAATTTTCCTTGACTTTCTAAAAAGTAGATTAAGTATGTTTTTTCATTAGACTAAGTTAACAATCTGTTTTGTTTAATAGCTTAATATAAATTATTTGTTAATCGTATGGTACTGCATGGCTGACCTGTAGGCCACACACAAAAGGTTTGAACTTACTATGAGTCATGAAATATTTCAGAGAAACTTAGGGTTGTTTGTTTCTTAGGTCGTAGTAGGAAGTCCAGGGAAAGGGCTATGCCAGGCAGCTCACCATATCAGAGTACCTAGAAATAACAGGTAGATTGGGAGGAGGAGGGATGAGTACAAGGCTCACCCAACACATTAAACAGGAAGGAAAACTTAGTCACTGTTGAGGTAGAAATGGTAATATCACACATTTCCCAAGTATCCCAACTTCCCTCACGTGGGAGAGCATATTTGTCCTAACAGAGGGTACTTGAGGAATGAGGCAGATCCACTCATTTTGTAGTTATTTTTGTAACGGGATCCCTGAAAGAGTTATCAGCCTGTGCATTTCTAGGACAATAAAACACTGTGGGTGTTTCAGCTTAAGTCAGTGGTGAATACCATTGTAGGGGATACAGGTGCGGGAGTGTCAGACCCTGAGCTTTTAGCTTTTTTTTCCTGCCCGTTACTGGTGGCTAAATGTGGCCGTTACTGGTGGCCACTGAAATGTGGCCAGGACTAAAAGTCCTGGCATAGCCCTTTCCCTGGACTTCCTACTTCCTTCCTTCCTTTCTCCTCTATCATGACCTACAACCATGAAAATCAGTAAATATTTGTACACATAACTGAGAGAGGTTGGATAGGATGCCAACTAGAGGGAGACATTGATGGACCCTTGGAATAGGGACCAAGCAAGCCTTTCTTGGGATTGGCGCAGAGCAGGTTGTCCCTCCCGCTGCATGCCCTCCCATCACTCTTCCCTGTTGCACCCCCGCCTCTCTCGGGGACTCTTGTCGTCACTGTCTTTGTCCTCTACTGCTTGTAATGTGGCTGTGAAAAAGTTCTTGGTAGTAGGATTCATTAAATATAGGGTTATGGTTTCCTCTTCTTAGTTTAAGGAGCAAATGAGTTGATCTTTTTTGTGTTTAAAAAAATGGCTCGTTAGTTTTCACATTGCATTTGCCTTAGTATATGTCTTGCTTGATTTTTTTTTTTTTTCTTTCCCAATGAGTCAGTAAAATTGAGTCTTCTTGAGTCAATAGAAAAAAGATTTTCCACAACTCTCCAAGTGAAACATTTGGGGGTACTTTCATTTATTTAAACGTGTGGGAAGATAGGCTTTTTCTGACTGTGTCATTCACCTTATTCCATGAACAGAACAGCACTTCCTAACCCAGCTCCAGGAGCTTGGAATATTATCTTTAACTCCTGCACGGATGGTCTTTGGAGAAAGAATTGCTTCTCATGATGACAGGTATGAAAGACTGTTTTCCTTTCTAAGGTGGCTGTGGGGTGGTGAGGAGCCAACTGCCTCTTCCACTGGACAGTTCGTCATGCGTCTGGATCCACACTCTTAAAGGACTCACTTGGTTCAGGGGTTTGAGAATTTTAATATTTATGGTCGTTAAGGTTATATACTCAATGCTTTGCTGTATGGCTTTAGTGAAATTACAAAAAAAGCTGTTAAGAGTTTTTTAAATTAAAACATGACTGAGAGTCTATAAGTAAAAGCAGATATTGATTGAGTTGTAGGTTTTTTGGTGCATGCTAAAAGTAATGTTTGTCCTGTCTTAGTGTGGCAGCCTCAAGAGTGGTTTTCAAACATTGTCTTCTCTTGGTTACTTTTGGCCAGTGACCGAGTCTGTCGTTGTAATACCCGGGCGCTCAGTATTTCTTCCGCATAATAGAAGATGGTCTCAGCTAACCCTAGCGTGATAGGAATAAGCTGTATTTCTTACGTTGGTATGTTGCTCAGAAAGCAGGTGCTAGTGCATCGGAGACGGCAAGCTTTAATCTGCACCTTTTAAATTTTTTTCTAAAAGCTTTACTGAGCACCAACCAAGTGCAGTGCGCAGAGCCTGCTCCGGGAACACACGTGATTCAGACGCACTTCCTGCCCTAAGGGGTTTTGATCTAGGGGAGAAGGCACACAAATAAGTAGTAGAGGGGAGTTTTGCTGTGGTTGAATAAGAGAAGGTTCCAAACATGACCAGTAGCATTAAAACCAGTTTTCAAGCCCTCCTCCTGTGGGGTGAAGTCAGTAGTCGTGAGCCTACAAGTAAGCATCTGGGAACCGAAGTGGGGTCTGCCTGTTCTCTCCTCTCCTGCACTCACCCGCTTTAATTTATTCTGGCCTAGAGCACTTACAGCCCCCTGGTGGTTTTGCCTTAGTGTTCCACCGGAATGCTCCCCCACATTGACGACACTGCTTAGCTTGTAACTCAAGCTAGTGAATGATAGTGAGATGGGTGAGAGAAGAAACGAGGAGCTTGGCAGGGGGAAGGGGACTTGGGATGACAGCAGACATTCATTCCTCGAAAGGTCCCAAGGGCCTTCTCATTGCCGGGCCCCTGCCCTTCACCGGGCTGGTGTGAGACTAGATCTGATGGGGAGAATCAGAGGTGACATGAAAGAATGTGAGAGGAAGCTGAGGGAGAACAGCACGTTGGGGCGGGGGCCTGGGTGAGAAAGTGCTAGAGCCTGGGATGGAGGGGCGCCTCTAGCTCCTGCTCTGTGGTCCTGGGTAGGGACCCTGAAAGTGCTCAGCTAGAAAGTCAGGTTGGGCTGCTGGGTTCATGAGGGACCTTCAGATCCTCTGACGCGACAGATGCACTCTCATGTCAGCAGAATGTGAACGCGCACACACGCACACAGACTGCTAAGCCTTTGCTCAATTCCTATGGCTCTCTGAGTTTCTAGCGGACATGAATATATGTCCTGATTCACAGTACATCCACTCCGAAGCCTTGCTACCTATTTTTGTTAATACCTCTGGGCAGACATCACTAATTAAAATTCATGCCAGTTAGAAATAATTTGTAAAATATTCTTTAATAAATCCAAAATGCTAAATTATATTTACTCTCCAAGGTTTCCTAAGATCTCTGAGTGGGGCTTGTTTTTTAATCCCCTTTAAGTACTCACTACTGATATACTCACTACTAATAAAAGCAGTTGGTTGCACCTTTAATTCCAGTGCTTCTCTTAATTTATTGTTTCATCATCTTTGTCTACATTGCCTTAGACAGATGTGGTCATCCTAAGGGATAAAACTTGGATTATCCTCACAAATCTCTCATTAAGAGAGTTCGAACATGAATAATCTCCAGCAATGAAACAGAATTCTTTTTAATATTTAATTCTTACCCTTTTTTATCACGATGTTTCATTGGGTAACTTGGCATTTGTGTGAATCTGTAACTTAGGCTAAACAGAATGACAGTTGTAGATGTCTCTTCTTAAGGCAGAGCAGAAAATGTGAACCTATGAATTAAAAAAAAAAATTGCAAGGCTGACTGTACCAAGCAGCTAATCTTAGAACCAAAGTACTTGTAGCTTAGCAACTAAAAACTGAATAGTGATTTCACAGGCTTGTCAGCTCTAATTCATTCTCTGCCCCAGTCCGCATGCGTTATCTTACCACCACTATTTATTGATAATACAGCTTTCCTAAACAAATGTATAAATTATGGTTGAGATCATTAAAAAAAAGAGAATAGATTCTATGAAAACCAAACCCTCATTTATAATCGTACTAATACTTTCACAGGTATTCAACTTCTCAGATTGATCTTCAGTTGACAAGGGCTTAACTTTTCTGCTTCCAAGCCTTGGTTAAATTCTCGGGTGCTTTTCCTATGAAGAGGCAATCTTTTTGTTGTCCTGTGAACCAGGCTGCCTGCTCGCCCATCTCAACCTCTCTTATGTCACTGTAGGTTTCTGCTGCACTTGGCGGACAAAACTGGTGGCATAATTGTAACAAATGATAACTTCAGAGAATTTGTGACCGAGTCCGTCTCTTGGAGAGAAATCATTACAAAAAGGTAATGTTTTCTTCTTTGTCTTGGGTCAAAAATGTTTTTTGTTGTTGTTTATCATTTGATTTTGTTTGCATTTGTTTGTTTTGTGTTTACCATGGAAGCAATATAGGGGCCAAAGTATCATAAGACTGTGCTCCCAGTTTGCAGGATGGCCGGCCCTCTAGGTAAGCGGGAACACCCAGCGCACAGCAGCAAAGCCAGCAGGTGACACATGGGCCTGCTGTGGTGCCACAGGTGTCTTCTAAGAGATCAGTGTTCCCTGGCAGGAGGCAAGAGGCACATCTTTGTGGCACAGGGAACTCTCTGTTAACTGTGTGATGGGGCAGAAATGCCTCCTAACTTGGCCTTGCCCTGATGCTGAGAGAGACTTGGGCAGATCATTGGCATCCCTAGTTTGCTCAGCTATGAAATATGAGGGTTGGGTTTAATAAAACTGTGATTCCAGTGAGAAGATAGGACCAAAATCAATATGCTGATTGGGTTTTCACTTCTTGGGTGGGAGAAGGTATTTCTACATCTTATGTCTGATGCTTTTCTTGAGCATTATACCATCATAGTTGAATCATCTATATTGAAAATATGTTTGAATATCATCCAAAATAACAAAGAGTTTAGCATTCACTGCTGTAAGTTTTTTTATTTGTAATGAAATTCTGAATGTGTCTAACTGCCTTAAAACCAGTGAACACAACTTCTCAGGCTTTTTGTTAACAAGCATCATCTGACCAGTTACTTCAAACAAAAAGCAATGGTCTGTGGTAGTGCCAGGGAGGAGTCATATGTGCCACAAATCGAAAAACATAAAGGAACGTACCTCAAGGCTGTGTATAACTAATATAACTAGTATATAACTAGTGTAACTAGATATTTATCTCTGTTGGGGTTTCACAGTTGCCCCTAGTGTGATGTTTATATTTTACTAAATCATTAAAGGATTTTAGAAAATGATTCTTTGCTCTAAATGCCCAGGTGAAAGTTCGTTACTATATGCTTTTGACCCATATACTGTGAAAAAGCCCTTATTGATAGCTGAACTGAGAATGAGTCTTTGACCTTCTGAGAACAGTTAATAAGCCGTTAAATCTCCTAGGACATGTTTCTGTTGGCTCTTTGCCCTGGGCTGACTGTCAGTATTTATTGGACACTCATCTGTGTACACATGAAAGGTTTAAACGCAGTCAAGACTCATGTTCATGCACCAACCCGTTGTTTTCAGAATTCACAAAACAAGGCAGAAACCAAGGTCTAGACAACAAACATAGGCACTTGGACTTTTTTTTTTACGTTTTCCCCAGACTTGACAAATGCTCACCTGACCTCAGATTTTCTCTCTTCATATAGCATATTGTTTTCTTTTTTTAGAGGATATCTTCACTGGGTTTGCCTAAGGACACATTTATTTAAAAATTAAACCTTCAGTGAGCACCTGTTGTGTCCTAAGCTGACAGTCTTTAAATCTTGTTTTTCAAAATTATACGTATTGAAAGTTACATTAGGAGAAGAAGATGCTTCCCAAGCCCAGATAAAAATCTGAAAGTCTTAATAAGAAATGTGAGAGCCAACCAATAAAAGTCTCTTACTCTGTTGTGTTTGTATTCAAAAGAGAAGTTAAAATGGTTTAACTTCGGCATTTTTGTTTTTCCCTTTAGCCGGTTAAGCAGTCTTACCACTTATAGGTGATGTTGCTTTGGAATTGGATGGCTCCTTTCCCCTCAGTTCGAGCAGCAATAACAGATTAGTGTTTTCTCCAGCGTTGTAATTATTCTCCGTGTTGTAGGTTGCTTCAGTATACCTTTGTGGGGGACATATTTATGGTTCCTGATGATCCTCTGGGAAGAAGTGGACCTCGATTAGAAGAATTTCTTCAGAAGGATGTCTTCCTTAGGTATTTCCTTTTTCAGATTGTCTTGTATTTACAAGTTTGTTTCAGTTCTCTGTGCTTTAGTGCAAGTGCTACCTCTGAAGACTAAAAATGGCGTTTTATTTTTTTAAAAAGCCTTAGGTTTAGTGCTGCTAATGACGCAGGCACCCCAAAGACCAGATCTTCATTTGTGGTCCTTTGGTTTTAATCCTAGGAGAGGGTGGGTAGCCAGACTTCCTGCAGGTCTAAAAAGACAAAGCAAATTTTGCTGGTAGTCACTTACTAACAAATGCCACTTAGGCTCATTATGTGTGTGTGAATATCTTTTTATGTCCATTTTCCGAAGTCGTTTGCTTTGAATATGTTATTCTTATCTTAATTTATTTACTATTCGGGAATCACTACTTGGGGACCTGTCTGTTACTTTCTACTTCCACTGAATGGAGAAGCCAGTATTGCATATTTATCTCAAATTAATTTGATAGTTTAGGGTATTTCTTGTTGTAGTTTAGATTTCTTTTTTTTTAAGACCTGTTGCTAGTGGTTGTTTCTCTTTTCAGAATTCTCAGGTAATGGGCGTTGTTAACTAAAGGATCCTGTGTGCCTAACTGGCAGATCATATAAGCCGGTGACAGACCTCTTCTCTTGTTTAAAATTAAAATAAGTTATACTTCTGTGTATTTCCCAGTAGCTGTTTGCACGGAGTGTGATGAGGATCTAAACTGAGAGGAGGATGCACAGCTTGCCCAGCGTTTTAAGGCAGTGAGACTTTAGAGTTGATCTTTCCCGTTTATAACGGGATCCCTTAGGGGTTCTAGGTTTGGATTTGGGGGGCATTGGGTGGGTTTCACATGGAGGTGTCTTCTGCAGAGGAGACCAGGCACGATATCAGCTCCCTGGTCTTGTGAGTCATTTCTCTCTTGAGCCTTTAGGTTTTACTACACAGTTGAGAACTTAGTTCCCAAAGGTCCTACTTCTCTACCTACACCAAGAGAATGGCAACCATTTTTAACACCTGCTGGGTGTCAGCACATCTCATTTTGCTTCCTCTGCTAGGCTGTAAGACCTGGGTCCTGTGTGCATGCATCAAGGCCCATGGGTCAAACTTAATGGAAGGAGAGTTCTATGGCTCCTTCCATAACTGCAGCAGCCTGGCAGCAGGGTGTCCCTGCTGCTCACCTAATGGCTCTTTACAAAGGTGGTAACTAATTGATTAAGAAGTTAATAATAACCCTCCTCACAGAGGGACTAACTTTTGAAATTTGTTGAGCTTTTGAAGTTGGGAAGCATTCGGCCAGCGCCATTTCTCAGGTGGAAGCCAGAGTCAAGTGGAAGGCTCTTTAATGCTACAGATGCCCTATACACACACGCCCATGTGCATACAAGTTGTGGGTGCTGATGCCTTACCCACACGTTGAGGGGAGACGTGAATCAGTGGGGGCTGCCTGTCTGCCCAAAAGTGGTCCCTTTTTCTTTCTTTCTTTTTTTTTTTTTTGTGTATGTGAGGAAGATCAGCCCTGCACTAACATCTGCCAATCCTCCTCTTTTTGCTGATGAAGACTGGCCCTGGGCTAACATCCGTGCCCATCTTCCTCTACTTTATATGGGCCGTCACCACAGCATGGCCTGCCAAGTGGTGCGTCGGTGTGCGCCCGGGATCCAAACTGCCGAACCCCGGGCCACCGCAGCGGAGCGTGCGCACTTAACCTCTTGCGCCACCAGGCCGGCCCCAGTGGTCCCTTTTTCTAAGCCCTATCAAGCAGAGGTCCACACAGAATCAGAATCTCCAAAAGAGTAGGACCCTGTTATCCATATCTTTTGAAAGCTCCCAGGCGATTCTGGTGCACCCCGGTTTAGAGCCAAACAGCTGGATGGGTTCCGTCCTCATACCAGCAGAGCTGGGAGGTGGAGTAGTCCATGAAGAGCTGTGCTCCATCAGCACCAGTCTGGGGTGGCGCACAGCCCTCTGTAAGCGGCTGCCATCCTCGCCTTCACGACAGTATTATGTCTTGCCTTGGGAAACCAGGGAGCAGTATCTTGAGCCTCGAGGTTAGCAGCAGGTATTTTAGAAAGGTTTCTCTTTTATCTTATAACCCAACTCACCAGGACTCACTTCTGTTCACAGAGACATGCAGCCCCTACTCAATGCCCTGCCAAGTGTGGGCAGGTTTGACCCCAGCTTCAGAGTCCCTGGCACCCAAGCAGCCAGCACCAGCCACCAGCCCCCAGCCCGGATTCAGGGCACCCCACCCAGCCACTGGCTTCCTCAGCAACCCCGCTTCCCACTTCTGCCCAGCCTTCCCGGCGTCCGGCAGAATCTGCCCATGCCAGCACAGAGATCTTCTGCGGAAACCAGCGAGCTGAGGGAAGCACTTCTGAAGATCTTCCCTGACTCAGAGCAAAGACTGAAAATCGACCAGATCTTGGTGGCCCATCCGTACATGAAAGACCTGAATGCGCTCTCTGCCATGGTGTTGGATTGAAGGCTGTCAGGAGCCGGGGCTCGGGGCTCAAGGTCATGCTCAAGCTAGTGTCTGCACGGGCAGCGGGAAGCGACGTAATGTGAAGAAATCGATTTCCCGGTGGAAGTGCTGTTGTGCTGTACAGAAGAAAAACAAGCAGATGTTTTGTGTATAAAAAATCTGGGTTTTCAAAACCAGCTTTTTTCTATATATAAATTATGCTGCTATTACAGATTTAACATTTTCTGTAAAAGGAAAGTCTACATTTTCTGCCTGTTCAGAACTGTTTAATAGCAGTTACTCTCGAGTGTATTTACATTTTTATGTTTTTTAAACTATTTTCCTTAAAGCTAAAAATATTGACAAATGGATATGATTAGCCTTTCTAAATAAAAAAAAAGAGTTGCTTTCTTAGGGAAAGCAAGACCTCTTAAAGTATATTTTCTTGGGATGACTGTGTCACATCCACTGACATGAAGTGTGCTCACCCCTCCAGCCTGCTCTGCCCTTACCCCTGGAACTCGAGTCGGTAGGCGTGGGTCTTGCTCCTTTGGGGTCTTTCATTTGAGCCGTTTGTGAGAGTGGACAGGTGGTGCCACTAGATGGCACCTTGTGCCTAGCCACTGCTAGTGACCAGGGCAGAGTCGGACTCACAGAATATCAGGGTGAAAAGAAACTTCAGAACGCACGCAGTCCAACCCTGCTCTCCTTCCACCCTACAGAAGAGGGAACTAGGCTCAGAGTGCTCACCCTCTGGACACACCCAAGTCCACAGCTGTGGAGCCGGTGGGCAGGGACCAGACTCCTCCTCCAGTGCTCTGGCACACTCACCAGGCTGAGGCCTCGCTATACCTGACCTGACTTCAGAAGTCACATCGGAGCCTCTGAAGATAATAGTGGGTTGTGAGGAAGTTTAATGAAGAGCCCCATTATTATGGTAATTTGGTGTTCACAACCATGGGAGACTCCCCATGTGAAGTTTGTGCAACTTTGCCAAAAAATGGTTTTCTATTCTCAAGAATGACCCAAGCCAATAAATAGCATTAGTAGCTTCCATGGGGGCCCAGAGCCCCTGTATTTATTTTTCCTGTGTTTGTCTCTTAGTGTCCTCCCAAGCTGCCCTTCCTATGAGTCTTTCTCAGCATTGATATCTTAGTCTTGTGTTTTCAGTGTTGCCCAGATTCCGTGTCAGTGAAGCTCTTTTCCTGGGTAATTAGTTCTTGATGTCTTTACTGTTCTCTGGACCTCCAAAGGGCTCTGTATTTTATACCTGTTCTCTCCCCAGGCTGCTCGCAGTCAGTTTCACATCTGCCCTGTGGATCATGTCTCCTGACCCTCAGAAATGGTTGCTGAGGACACCGTCCTGATGTGTTCTTCGTGCTGAGGGGACTCTGTTGGCCACAAGCAGAGCTGGGTGGCTCCTAGGATGCTCTGTCCAGGCATGTTCGATCCCTTAGGGGATGAATCCAGAGTCCTCCGGGTGGCTAGACTTGTACTTGAATCATGTTTTCTCTTGGATGCCTTTAAGATGCATCCCAGTGTGGACCTGGTTGTCAGCTGTTGCTTTGCAGGCAGGTTGCCTGAGTCACCCAGCTGTGGCCGTGGAGAGAAGGCTTGAGGAGGGCCAAGAGATGACTTCAATCACAGCCCCCTCAGCTTCTGAACTGGTGGTTTTTAAAAGCACAGCAGACCTGTGAGGGCTGGGGCTGCCTCACAGTGACTCTGACCTCCTTTCTGGGTCAAGGTTTAGCCTGGCAGCCTTGCTAGTCCAGTATTTCTCCTCTGTTTCAGAGGACCCAGGAGGGCACCTTGATTGCCAAGGCTTAGCCATAGGTCTTCCTGGACAGGGGCTGAGCCTCCACTGATGCCAGATGGATCTGGCTAGGCTCTAGGGGTCAGGAGTTTTCTAGGCTCTAGAAGTAACTTGACCTTTGAATTATTTACGCCTCTGTGTTCTTAGCATTGTTTCTGAGAGCTCTACCTGCCCCTTTCCTCTTCCTCAGGTCTGGGAAGGAAGGATGCAGAAGACTAAGTGGGAGGAGTGCAGAAAAGCATTAATTACTTACCTGGATGAATTATAGCCTGAAACAATTCACAGTTCTTTTGAAATCCATCAAGTTTAGTTAAATTTAATATTTAAAAACTCAGTTTACAGATCATTAAAAAACAAGTCATTACTTATTCTCAGCCTCCTCTCAACACTAGGCTCAGTGTTGATCCTACGTAAATATTTCTAGATGGTCTCCCTCCCGTGGTAGGTTTCTAAAGTACCTTGGGAGTGTCAGCAGCGATGCTTCCTCCTTCTGTGACTCCTTCAGGCTTTCGTGTGTAGTGGCTCTGCACCCTGTGTGTCATGGCATCCTTGTGAAGTAGGTTGCGGGGCAGGGGATACCACCCTCCTTCAGTAGTCTGGTGTCTGGTGCTCAGAGAAGTTGTCCAGGGTTAAAGAACAAGTAGGTGATGATGCTGAGTGATTCCCGGGCCTACATTCTTTCCCAGGCCCCAGGCTGCCTCCTCTGGGAAAAGACACACTCGTTTGACTTTTCTGTCAAGTAGCCCATGCTTGAGACCCTACAAGGCTGCCAGCTAGGAAAACAGTAAGAAGGTGTCTCAGCCATCCTGGAGGACAGGTCAGCGTTGTCTGGCAGGCTTAGCTGTGGCTTGGTGGTGGTGCCAGGATTCAGGCCTGCTGCAGCTTTTGATATCAGTGAGAGAAGGGGTGGCATCTTGCTTGCTTTGGCTTGTTGTGGCACTTGTGGAATATGATCCAGACATGGAAACCCACGTTCTCCATGATGCTCTTAGCACCCCCCCCCCCACCACCCGGTTCTCTGCCCCTCCCCCAACCATGGGAAATGGCCCCTGGCACTGGGCCCCTGAAGGTGGGCCTTGGCACTCGTTCTCACCTCAGATCCCAGCCTGCCTCCCACACACCTCCAAGACATGGCCTTCTTTTGGGAATCTCTTCCCACTTCCTCCTCTCCACCAGGGCTTCCATATCCTCACCTGGTTCTTTCTTCCTGTGTCCCTGGCCACTCTCCTCTCATCTCCTAACCATGGTTAGACTCCCTCCGTTTCTTCATTATCTACCTCCCCATTATTCCCCACATATTTTGGATCCTTTAGATTAAAATAACCTGATTTCCCCTAAGAATCATCTCTGTTCATTGCTTCTTTCCCTCACCTTCCCACTCTTCAATTCCCAGTTTGCAAACTTGGCCGCCTCCTCACCACGAGGAAATATTCTAGGAGAAGTCATGGGGGACTGCCTAATTGCCAAATACAGAGGCCTTTTCTCAATCCTTAATCTTAGTGTCGCTACTCAGTGACCATGGCATTGGACATTGTTGACCTTATTTTCTCTGTTTTCTGAGATTTCCATCACTCCTAAACGTTCTTCGTTTCTTTTCCTTCTTTTGCCTAAAAGCCAGTCCTTAACACCCTTCTCTTTCTCGACAAGTGTTTTTTAAACTTTGGACCAGCTGCAGCACTCGTGGCGGGGAGGGTGGCTCTTACTAAAAATGCACATTACTGGGCATTACCTCCAAAGAGGTTTATTTAGGAGCTCTGGAGTAAAGTCTGGAAATCAGCCACTTCAGCAGGCTCCCTGGATGATTGCCATGCAGGTGGTCCATGGACCACATCTTGAGAAACTCAACTCACCCTTAGGGATCACCACTCTTCCCTAACTCCAGCTGTCCCCACTCTGCAGTGACTTCTGATCCCTCCTCCAGCCCTGCCCTTCAGGAGTGTAGTTTTCACTATGCCTGGGAGCCCTGAGACATCCTCAGACTGACTCCCCAGACTGTCAGCCCGCGTCTGTTCTTCACTGTCCTCCCCCACCCTACCCTGCCACAAGATCCCCTAATCCACCTTGTCCCTTTCTTGCCATTGCCCACCAGTCAGGCTCTCATGGCCTCCCTGTAGGCATCAGCCCACCTCTCAGCTGCCCCTCTCCTGCCCGGACTCCGCAGCGCTGTCAGATTCATCTTCCAAAAACACATTTCTCGTCACCCCTCTTCCTGTTCAGTGATCTTCGGTGGCTCTCTTGACCAGAGCACGAAGTTCAGACCTCCCTGAGCTTAATAGCCTTGGCTGTCCACCTCCGGGCCGTACTCGAATGCCCACTTTGTACAGTCCTACGCATGCTCACTGTAGCCACACCCCCTTCCTCAGCTACCTGTGGGCTCCTGCCTCTGCGTGGACCTCTTCTCCCTGCTAGAAATGCCCTTTCTCTCCTGTGGTTTCCCCTTCAAGGGCCCAGCCTGAGTCCTCTTTGTACCCTTGCCCAAGCCTTCTGGCCAGAAGCAACCCCATGTTGTTCTGTGACCCCACAGCACTGTGTGTTGCTTTCGGCACTTGCCACTCTGGCCGGTGTCCTGCAGCTGATTGTGTACTATGTCTTACCTCCCTTTCTAGACTGTGAGCTCCTCGCGGGCAGGGACTGTCTGTGTTCACTCTGTATTTCCCATGGCACCTAGCACTGGCCTTGCACTTAATAGGTGCTCAATAAACGTCTGCTCAATTGACCTGGAGGATAGTGCCTTCTTGACTGCGACATCTGACAGCCAGTAAGACCTTCAGAAATCAAGTTTTCAACAGTCAAGCGCAGGAACCCACTGCTCTGCTGTGGTAGACCTCAGTGGGCTGTCTGCCTTGCTCACTTCATTTTCCCTCCTCTTCAAGGCTCCAACACACCATCTGGTCCAGGGATGGGCACGTGATGCGGGCCGAGCCAAGCACTGTGCTCTGGTTTCCTGCCCACAAGTTGGCCAAGGGCAGACACCTGGCCCAAGCTAGGCCAATCACAGCCGCTCCTTGGGATTTTCCCATCTGGTGGTGGGAGCTGAGGAATGTCATGCCCAGATCTGTTAGAGGCCATTTCCTACCAGAGGGGAAGCTGGGCTCTGGTCACAGAGAAGCAGAAGCGTGACAGCGAGATTCCTGGTGGCATGAGTTCTAGGTTCCTGTGGTCATGGAAGCCTGACCACGCTCATGCCTGTCCCCAGATGTCAAGATGCCCCATTATTGTAACACACTTCCCTTTCTGCTGAAGCGGTTCATGCTGGGTTTACATCCCTTAAAATCAAGCGTTTTGAATGAAATATGTATCTTGAGTGAAATATGCTTAGACTTGGCAGATTAAATGGAGGAGGCTCGTTGTATCTTCAGAAAGATCCCAAAGACAGGCGCAAACAGAACTTGAGGAGTGATCACCCCAGTCAGAAAATGGTGTAAGAGCCCCACGGTTTCTGAGTAACTTGAAACTCCCTGCCTTTCTCCTCGAGGAGCTCCACCACCACCCTCGTGCAGGCTGTTTCCTGCTGCTGCTGTTCCTTCTCACATCCCCACTTCCTCTTGAGGTTGAGTCTTAAAAATTCCCTCATGAGAATTTCTTTGCTCAGTTCCCTAGCCGGGCAGAGACCAGGCCTGTTTGTTTAGAGTTAGACCTTCCATATGCTCATCTGTAAAACAGGTGTAATGGAATAATTCCTGCTCCGGGAGTGTGGTGAGGACTAGGTGTGGGCATGCCCGTGAAGCGCCTAGAATGTGCCTGACACAGAGCCCCATTCAGTGACTCTCGTTACTGTGGCTCTGATCAGCAGCCCTGTGGGCACCTGTGTAACTGTTCACACTCTTACAGGTCATCCCACACTTCTCCTGATCAAAGGTCAGAGATCTCGTCTTCCAGATTCTGAATGCTCTCCTCTGTTCCTGCCGCCTCACTGAGAGAGTGTGGACCGGACCTTCCTCAGAGCCTCAGCAGGGCCACAGGAAGTCCAGCTGTGACCTAGAGAGGGCCTTGCTCCTTTAACATGCTGGGCGCCCAGGAGAGCCCCTCCAGTGTCATTGCCAGAGGAAACCTGAGGGAAGGGGGCAGAGCTGCTGCCTGGCACAGGATATATGGGAAAGCTGATGCTTGTGGCTGACAGAGCACTCAGGCTTAGTTTTGTCTCATTTGATCCTTGCACCTCTCCCCTGAGGTCTCCACTTTGTGGAAGAGGAGTTGAGGTACAAGGATGCTAAGAGATTTGCAGTTCTCAAGCCATTGTGTCCAGA